GTAGAGTCTGTCTCTAGCCAACTGTGCAGTCAGGGTGGCGGCTCGAGTCCCAGTTTCCTCTCCAAGTTGCAGAGAAGCTAGGAGATAAGTGAGATGAGTGCATAGAAATCAATAGGCACTAAGCAGTGGCTCTCAGAAATGAGGATTAAGAACAGAGTGCTGGAAAGAACAGCCAATGGCCAGGAAAGATTAAGTCCTGGAGTGCATGCTCTGCACGGGGGAGCCTGAGGTTGGATCCCTGGTACCACATGGTTCCCCAAGCACTGCAAGGAGTGACCCCAGAGCAATGAGCCTTAAGGAGGCACTAGAACCATGGGATGGTTCCACCGCCACTTCCATTGCCATCTCCCAAACAACTCAACAGGAAAAGCACAAGCAGCTTCCTGGACGTGAACGGGAATGATGAAGTATGTGTCAAGGACAGGAGGCTAGAACTTGAAAAATTTCCTCCTCCAAGCAAGCAACAGGGCTCAATTCTACTTTCAAGATCTAAAATCATTGGTACCAGAACAATAGCAGAGCAGGTAGGTGCTTGCCTTATACACAGCTGACCTGGGTTTGATCCCCAGCACCACATATGGACCCCTGATGACAGGAGTGATCCCTGAGCACAGAGCCACAAGCCCTGAGCACTGCTGGGTGTGGCCATCCCCACCGCCACCAAAAAGATCCAAAACCGCTTGTCAGGCCAGGGCCGGAATTCTGGGTCCATGCTATTTCTGAGCCTTTTTTATCCCTTCCTGGGTACATGCAGTTCCTGAGCACTAAGCGGAGCCAGTGAGCACGTCCCACTCAGAATGTCTGTCTCTGAAGGGTCAGCATTCTGAATTTCAGTAACTCCTTTCAAGTTTCTATTTGTTCTGGGAATCATGGTTGTGGTTGTTGTTGCTGTGGATGTGTGTTTCTACTCCAGATGCCAGGCAAGGCAGCAGGCACCGACCTGCTGGAGGGTGAGGCTGAGGACTGGGAGGGCAGGTCCCTTTCCTTCTCCAGGGGCAAGAGGACCCCAGAACCGTCCCTTCCTGGACACAGAGGCCTCCCACAAACACCTGAGAATGCCAGTTGTTCAAGAGGCTGGAAAAACCATCCAGAATCATGAACGACCACAATCTTAGGACAAAACATTTTATTGGATAGAGAAATTCTAAAGTACAAAAACATTTTGCCAAAGTTGGGCATGAGCTACTGCCACCTATTTACAGGTATGTACAAATCAAGTAAGGCATCGGCGTGTAGAAATCCAGCGAATCGCTGCAGTCCCAGTGCTTGTGATGCCACCAAAGGCCACCAAGGTCCAACGTGCAGATGAAACACTTGCTGTGGCACATGCCACCGTGTCCCACGGGCGCTCCAGGGAACAGGGCGCCAGGGTCAGTCTGCAGTCCACAAAGTAGTCCCGAACACCTGGGCCTGTACTGGCACCTTGTCACTAAATAAGCACTCTGGATTTTTACAAACTTTTCGCTGTTTAGAAACACCATGTTTTTTCTTTCTTTTTTTGTCAAGAGAAAATCCTTTTTGTTTTATAACAGATGTCCACAAATGAGTGGAACCCGATGGTTAAGTGTTTTGTCTAACAAATGGAGCAGCAAACTGGGTCTACATCACACATAAACAGATGACGGCTTCTCTGAATCTTCTTGACTTGAATTTTATTTGACATAAACATCAGCTATGCAGCCCGAATGTTTTCTCCCTCTCAGGCTGTGCAGAACACAGTGCTGGGCCAATTCCCAGCCGTGCAACCCTCCAGCCTTTCAAACACACAGAAAAGCTCCCGAGGACTCAGGTCCCAGCAGAGCCTCAGAGAGGAATCAAAGGGCGGCAGGCCCACAGCACCCTCAGTCTCCACAGGCCCTCCCCTCTGGCCTCTCTGCAAATGAGCCCTTAGTCACTGCCTGTCTTGCAGCGGTCAGAGTGAAGGCGGCACCACTTAATAACATTCTGAGTTAGGAATTAAAGGCTAGAGATTAAAGGCCAGGATTAAAGGCTGTATCTAGAGATAGGGAATAGAAAAATAAGAGTTCAGAGTTGGGCAGGGGTGGCAGTGTGTGTGTGTGTGTGGGTGGGGGGGAACCTGATGGAGCTGCCACTCAGAACCTAAGAACTGGTCCTGAGGAGGTGCAGGAATCATCAAATACATCAGAGGAAGAAGTACCGTGTGTTTGACCACAAGCGGGAGAGAAGGGAAACGAGCCATGTATGAATGAGGTCTATTGACAAGGGACGGAGGAACCTTTCCAAAAACCCAAACATGGCCAATAACCCTCAAAATGTATATTGGTGACAACCCCCCCCCCACTTTTTTGCTTTTTTGTCTTTTAGGGCCACACCTAGTGATGCTCAGGGGTTACTCCTGGCTTTGCACTCAGGAATTACTCCTGGTTGTGCTCAGGGGACCATATGGGATGCTGGAGATCGAGTCCAGGTCAGCCACGTGCAAGGCAAATGCCCAACCCGTGTACTATATCGCTCCACCCCAGGTGACATCCCATTTGTAAAAGCATCATTAGATCTGCAGAGACTAAGAGAAGCCAGGCTCATAAGGATTTTCCTGCAACCCTCTCTTTGGATTTCCCAAGGCACCAATGGGAATAAGGCTGGGCAAGTGATGGAAGTGTGAGTCTGAGACAGCAGGGCACTGAAAATTAGGAAGCCCTTGGAAAAGAAAAGCTATGAAGAATGGTTTAAGTGGGTGGGATTATTTATCCTTGAAATCAAAGCACCAGGGGGATGACTTCACTGTGGTTTTTTTCAGATGCACTGAAGGTGACCAGCTGTTCTTTCCTCACTGCATGTAAAAACAAAGGACTGGTTTGAATTTCTATAAGGAAAAACCTACAAAGAACAGGATCTCAATCTCATCTGGTGAAATTAAGATGGACAACTAGCCCTCAATCTTTCACAACGTGCAGACTTCCCTGTCGTCAGCTCCTTGGTCTCCCATGACTCTGGAACATGCCATCAAAAGTAGCAAAAAACTCTCAAGCTCAAGGTCTTTGCATTGAGATCATCCCCATAGTCTCATTCTTGTCCCCTCACCCCCGGACCTAAAAGCCTGTGACTTGGCAAAAACCTTTATCTGAATTCCACCTTATCATCTCCACTGTCCAAGACAATGTGTGAGTTGAAAAATGCAGCTCTGCAGACAACAGATGTTTTGCCTTAATCTGAAAGGCAACTTATCCCCATTCCCAGCAGAAGGGGTGGGGAGAAACAAAACAATAGCACAAACAAGTGAAACTAATACGGCAAAAACCAGGAAGCTGAACTTTTCAACTTATTCTGGGTTAGGCGTGCACACTGCAGTATCCTTACTTGGCACATTTTGCAAACATCAATATTTCAAATTACGTTTCCAAACTCCAAACTAAAACAGCACCTAATGTCTGGACTAGCACAGTTTCCTCTTCCATTTTCAAAATAAAGTTCACTTATGAATGTTTCTGCCCGGTTTCGTGACTCACCTTCCTTTACCCCCACCCTGGTCCCAGCCTGCATGCTGTCCCCGGGGCCAATATTTCAGAGACAGCTTGTTTCACACGCAGAGCATTAGGGACCAATAATTCAAAAGTGGCTCTCACAGTTTCCTCTGGGGGTGCACACCATTTTTTGGTCTCAAGGAGATCACCTCTGATAAATGTTCCAAAGTGAATTTTCCTTGTGAAGTCCAGAACACCTGATCCCCCAAAGAACATAGGGTGGGGGGCTGAAAACGGATAAGATGGTCCCGGATGAGCGAGAGCCGGTGCCTGTCCTGGGCTCCACGAGACAAGTTGAATTTTTTTCTGACACCATGGCTGTTGTGGGGGAGACTGATCCGGCAGTTCACTTTTCTCCCCTTTAGAACAGCTGTGGGAAACTCGATGCCCAGGAACAGACCAGCACGTTTTTCTCCCCAGAGTGAACAGCTGACTTTCTGGAGCTGTGGCACGGCATCTGCATCCAAAAAGCCATGCATGTCTCTTGTCTGCAGGGGCCCGTGGAAGGAAGGGTCCTGCCTCATTTCCAGTGGTCCTACTTGCTGAAGGAGTGGGAACTATGATCCGGGAGTGCTGCTAGGGCGGGAGGTCCACGTCCCAGCGCATCCATGAGCTGGTGAAGAGAGATGCTTCTCAGCCCCTCCGGGCCCAGGGAGACGAGACACGCAGAGGTAAGTGCCAATCGCCAGAGGGATGGGAACACTTGCTTTTACCCTTGGCAAACAGAAATCCTGGCAGGAGACATCCTAGAAATAAGGCTCATGTTTCCTTCTTCCAAAGCTCTAATACCTGTTTTTGGTAGCAGGGCACAAAGAGCCCCTCTTGCACCGGGTAAATTGCACCGGAAATGAAGCACAACTGAACTCACAGGCTGGGAAGAGGGTGGCGGGGTGGGAACGCGGCACTAAAAGACTCAAGAATTTACCCATTTCAGGTTCATCCTCTTGTTTCAGTGATGCCGGAAAACAAATACATCCCTGGGATGGTCCCCTCCTTTCAAACCTTCTTTAAAAGGGGTTCTCATGAGTCCAAAACCAGTTCGAGCAAGCAACTGGCCGTGGCCTCAACACACTGCTGTACTTCAGAGGAATTCAGATCCCCAATATTTCAGACCCAGATTTAGACCAGGGGCCAGTCAAAACACACACAGCAACTCCAGTGACACAGCCTGGGCAGGGATTGTTCTTTTTTTTAAAAAAAAAAAAGCCTCCAGGTACACACGCATCTGAGGTAAGGCAGCAAATGGCACCTCTGGGGCTGGGGGGCTCTGAGCACAGGAGACCCAAGACCCAGAGCTCCGGGACTGCCTGCAGCTGGACCAGCCCATGTCAGAAAGACTCATCTGGAGGGTGGGCCTGGCCCCCCACCTCAGCCAGCAGAGCCGCCTGCTGTGAGGTCAAGACTGGTTTCGTGAAAAGGTCGCTTGGCTACAACCCCTTGACTCCCGGGGCCCTTCTTAATTCCCAGGCCATGGTGGTGTCTTCCTCACCCAAACCCACCTATAGGAACCTCCCCCTCAAGGACGAGGGTTCCACGAAGACTGTCACTCGACTTTTCTGGCTGTCACTGGCACTCAAAGTGCTTTTTCCTCAAAGCCCTTCACATCAGAGAAGCCAAACAGGCAAAGTTAGTGGAGATAAACTAAACCTGGAACCCTCCCTCTGTAGGGCTCTTGGGCCGCCTCCCACGACCTACTTCCTGCCCACATCCCCGAGCTGGATCTCATCCAAGGACTGACCTAACGGGCAGGCCGCCGTCAGACTTCCTGGATGTGCCTTTCAGAGTTCCGTGCGGCTTGAGACAACTGGGAGAACTGGCCAAGGTATCTGCTAACATGCTAAGAGGGTGGGGCCAGGTGAGTGAGTCCTGGCCTGAGTTTCACTCCGTGTTGCCTCCTGGGAGCCCTCAGTCCCCGAGAGAAGACCTGGGACCCGGAGAGGCGGCGGCTAAAGTGGCAATGCTTAGATGCTTCGGCTTCATTACAAAGGGGCCACGGCACAGAGCTCGCCAGTACAGCTGCGGCAACCAGGTTCTGCTTGGCAAGCCCCCGAGGCCAGGAGCTTGGAAGGCAGAGCAGGAGGGTCCTCCTCACCTATGGAGACAAGAGAGGACAGAGGCACGAATCAGCACACTTCCTGCGCTGGAGCAGGGGCTGAACCACAGGGCCCCTCAACCAGCCCCGCCCCCCAAAAAGTGAGCTTCCCTTGGCTGAGGGAAGGGCTTCCAGGGCTCACATGCCTGGCACTAACAGGAGGCGGGAAGTCCTTTCCCTGGGGCCTGTGCAGAGATGCAGTCAACAGTCCAGGCTTCGAAGGCAAGCCCTGAGAGGCCATGAGCAGCCCCTCCACTGACCCTCATCCAACACCCTGGGGTGCTCTGCACGGGGAAAGCCAAGCCTTCCCAGGCACCCGGGGGCTCTCACCATAATTTGTCACCTGTATTCCTGCAGCTCACAGAAGCAAATGCTCCCATGACCTGGGACCAAGGGAAACTACCAATTTACGTGTCCCTTTCCCTGAGGTCCTCCAGCCCATGAGGTCTGCATCCCAATTAGGACACCGGCCAGAGTCCTGGACGAGGCTGCCCTGCCACCGCGGGTGTGCCTGGCTCCCAGGGCCTTACCCACCCAGGCCCGAGGAGGACGACACGCTCTCCGCCAACGAGCACGTTTCTGTCGGGTCTGTGAAGAGTCCTTCCATCAGGGGCAGCGACAGCTCAGACGAGGGCACGGAGGAGTCATAGATGCCCGAGTCCCGAGGCATGTCCGAGGGCCCCGCGGCTTTGACCGCGTGCAGCAGGGGCTGGAGCACGGAACCGCCGTCGGGGCCAGGCCGCACCTCCGTCTCGTGCCCCGGGGAGTGACCCTTGTCGGCCGGAGCCCCCGGGCCGGCCGCCTCAGCCCCCGCTTTGCACATGACGTCGTTCAACACCAAGCCCGAGTCAAACTTCTCCAGGACCGGCTCCCGGAAGCGGAGTGGGGGCGGGGGGTGGCAGGGGATGAACTGCTTCTCGAACCAGTCGGGCTCCTCGTCGATGAGCTGGTGCATGTTGCAGATGGCCACATAGAGGGCGCGGCCGGCCTTGCTCCTGAAGTAGTTCCGCCTGCTGCCGTGTCCCGGGGGTGGGCCCGGCTCGGGCAGCCGCGGGTCGCGGGCGTGCAGGTGCGAGCAGAGCTGGGGCAGGTGGTCCATGAGCTTGTACTTGGTGCTCAGCTCCAACACGCCGGGAATGTCCCCCTCGCAGGAATAGTCGAAGTAGACGGCGATGAACTTGCGGCGCGCGGCCGGAGAGCTGTGCTGGGCCTGGCGCAGCTGTTCAGCGATGGCCCCCACGGCCACCAGGAAGAGCTCCCCCGTGCCCGGGCTGCGCCCACCGCCCCGGTGCTTGTGGCTCTTCTTGTCCACGAAGTACTTCATGCCCTTGGAGCACACCACGATGATGAAGTGGGACTCGCGGATCTGTCGGGTGACCCACGCGCGCTGACCCTCCCTGCAGAGAGTGACATCGTCCCAGAGGTCCAGAGCCACCTGGAATGAGAACGCGGGATGCGGGCCCTCAGGCACTCTGACAGCTGCAGGGCCCGGCACCGAGGGGACAGGTACAAAGGGGACAGGTACGGAGAGGATGCCAGTGAGGTGGACCCGCCCTCGGGCCCTGGCTGGCAGTGCCGGGAGGCACAGCTGCGAGGACCTCTGTCTGGGCGTCACCGGGGCATCAGAGATCACATTCTGTTTCTTCAAACAGTGGTCGACAAAGAAGCTTCATTGGTCTAAAAAATTTTGAAGAGACCAGGGAAATGTTTCAAGGGAAGGAATGCAGACTCCGCATGCAGGAGTCCTGGTTACATCCCTGGAACTGTACGGCACAGGAGTACCAGGAGTTCCCTCCCCAATGGGAAAAAAAAGGGGGGGGGCACAAAATGAAAAGAGAGAGGGGAGGGAGAAACCATTCTACTACACCCAAAATTCAAACCCGTATTGTATGTCTAAACTCACCTATGCAGAAAAAGACTAGAAGGAAATATTGCAAGTATTAAATGTGAGTCCTCTTTCCTTCAGATTGGCATTACAGAACTGTTTGAAAATGTATTATCTTTTCTGTCTTCCAAATGTACAGTGTTAAGTATTACATTCACATTGGGAAGACTGCCCCCACGCATGCCACACCCCCCAACCCAGGCTCATTTACTTTCAAAGCAGAACACTGCGTATTAAAAAGACATCACATCCCACGGGCTACAGTTATTCAACACGCAAGCTGAGTACTCCATCCCCACACCCCTACACCCAGTTTTTCAAGAACCGGGTGATCAAGTATCATACCAGACTTGCGGATACATTTGATTGACGCTAGAGGGCAGCCTCACCACGTGGAGAGAGCCAGACACTCCGGGAGGCCGTTTCAAAGCACAGCAGACCACAGTTCCCACACAATTTCTGCATTGGTATGGAATATAGTGTGCCTTCCCTGAGAGCTTTGGCTTTAGCGCTAAAATGGACACTGCAACAGTACAGAGAAAAACCTACACATTCCTAGCTTAACTCAAGAAAGACAAAAGGTTAAACAACATTCCAGAGAGTAGACTGGAGATTTTGGGACTTGTGGCATTTGACTATCTCCTCAGTAGAGCCCTGTGTGCCCCCAACCCAGAACAGTCTCAAAAATATCTGCCTTCATCCTCTCAGTCCTCCAGAGACCCGGGTGGCCCCTTCCCCATGATCCGGAGGCAACCTAGACCATCGGTGCCAGCGCCTGGTCTTTTTAGGGCTTTAGGAAACTGCCCAATGGGAACCACGCTGTGCAGAGGAGTGTCAGGACTAGAACCGAGTGTGGGGGCACGCGGGGTGCTGGTGACAGGCAGAAGAGGGCAAGGAAGACAGGAGAAGGCTGATCCTGTCCTACGCTGAGTCAGGGCACAGAATAGCCCACTCACCTCGCAGCCACAGAAGTCCTGCAGGAAGTAGGCAAAGCACTGGACCACGTTCAAGTGGTTCTGGCCGTCTTTACTGGAGTAGCAGAGGAAAACCTTTGGCCGTGGGCGCAGCCGCTCTCTGGGCAGCGCCGTGGTATACGTGGAGGACTCAGAACTCTCTTCATCTAAATGTGAATATATATTTTCTAAATTGGAAGAGAAGACAGGGTTGATTCCTATAAGCTGTGTTCCTCTGGAGCTCCAGGGACAGCCAGTGACGTGTCCACCTCAAGAATTCCCTGTGCCCCAATGCCACCAGCAAAGTGGCGATTTCTCCACTGTTGCAACACTTGACCAAAATCTGGTCTCCAGCTATGCCAGACAGGGCTAGCCGAGAACATCTGTCAGCAGGGAGACCCAAGACACGCTCCTGTAGCCCACACACCCAATCCAGCAGCGAGCATCGGCAGAGCTAACTGTTTTCACCGTTCCTCACACAGGGAGAGACTACTGTTAGGAAGACATACACCAGCCAGGGAAATAGCTCAAAGGCCATATGCTCCCGAGTCTGATTCCTAGCATGAAGATCTGCTGCCCACTGGCGTCTTCCCCTGCAATCCTGGGGCTGAGCAACCTTGCATGGTCAGACCAGGACACTGAGCTGAGGATTGCCAGGAGTGGCTCCCACATCCCTGGCCATTGCTAGGGTGGTCTTGTCGTCCCCCCAACACACACACCAAAAGAGCACATCTCCATAAATGTTTAAGTCTATCCCCCGTATGACCACTGCGTAACTAGAATCAAGACACACAATACCTCCAAGATCGCCCTGAAGGTCCCTTCCCGGGATTCTGACTTTTCTGACTGTCCAGTCCTAGAGACTTCCCTTCATGCCCTCTGCTCAGATTTACCCTTGTTGGCAGGAAGACAGAAGGATGCCTCTCACTGGAGTGTCCCTTGAGGTTCGAGGTCAAGTACTAGCCTCTGGGGAGAGCATGTGGCTTCCCCTCCCCCGCTCGGGGGACACCAAGCCCCCCCCTCTCCCTCAGCTGCCAGCCATCCCACCCCACCACCGCACAAAGACAGACCTTGTTGCTTTTTGCGGCACATCACAGTGAAGAGCGTGGCGAAGGCGGATATGACCACCAGGGGCACAGTGATGGCGACAGCTCGGATGGGCCCCGCCCACGGGGAATGCACTGGAAATTCAAAGGGAGGCTTTGACATGGAGCAGCACAACATTTTCCTTCTTGAACATAACCCACAAACAGGTTCTCACCACCTTCCTCAAGTCCTGGTTCCCAGTTTACAAAAGAATTCATTTGAAAGGGCTGCAGGAGACAATTCCCTAGTTCAGAGTAGTCTACAGGGACGGTAAATACCTTTCAGAGGGAATTTTGCCTAAGGAAACCTCCCCTCCCACTTCTCCTGAGAGGACAATTGACTATTTAGTCCCAGAAGTACACTTCAGACTGGCTTTGATCTTCCAGACATCAGCTTTTAGGGTAGAGGGGAAGTCGGGAGGGATGAAATATCATTTAAGAGAAAGGAGCTCCAGTTTTCTTGTGTCTTGTTCATGCGAACCTTAAAGGATAAGTATTAAAATAGCTTCGTCTCCTATAGTCCACAGCCAGCATTTCAAAGAACAACAAAAATTCTTACCTGGCTTTAAGGCATAATGCATCACTTTTCTTGTGGTATTAGTGTCATCTACCAGCTGCAAAATTGAAAATGCTGTATTACTGTTTTGTTTTTTTTAATGATACTATTTAATCAGATTTCATTCATTTTTCCTCCCCCATCCATGAGCAAAGGAGGCAGGAAAGTCTCTGATGTCTACGACAACTTACAGGCAGATATTCATTTTACTGACTCAAAATTCTCCATCACACCTCGGGACCCAAAAGGCTTCCTTTTGAATCATGAGCCTGCTTATTCGCTGACGAACTCAGTGACTGAGTCCCACATTCTAACAAGGGCACTGTCCGGTGACGCTTACTGTGCTTTCACTAATCACAAAACAAACACCCCAGATCTAGGTGTTTTGGTCACAGTGTTAGGACACTTGATTACCTCTGAATAGTGGGGGTGGAAGGCAGAGGGGGCCCTCCGGACAAACTTTTAATTTTCCTTCTAATTTCTCTTTTAGGCCAAGTTTTCTAGACCAAATTAGATCATAGAAAAGTTAAGAAAAATATATCTGGCTGGAGCAATAGCACAGCAGAGAGGGCGCTTGCCTTGCATGTGGCTAACCCCAGCATCCCATATGGTCCCCCAAGCACTGCCAGGGGTAATTCCTAAGTGTAGATCCAGGAGTAACCCCTGAGCATAGCTAGGTGTGACCCAAAAAGCCAAATATATATATCTCGACTGGACAGGGAACACAGTACATGGGTTAGGGTGCATGCCCTAGACTATCCCAGGTACCACAGCCCCCTCCCCCACCAGCAGTACCTCAGGGCCCAAGATTCTGGCACTCAGGGCCCAAGCAACACCACAGAACACCACAGGCTCTGTCGTTCAACTCTCTGGCCTACTTGGCAGAGAATCTCTGGAGGTGACCCCTCCATGTCCTCTGAGCATGGTTTGGGAGATCTCCACACAAATATACACACACATATATATAAAACGTGCAAGGTTTTTAAATACTACTTATAGTCATGTGTATTATAAAAATCACTTAACTTCCCGTTAGTCGTCGATTTGCTCGAGCGGGCGCCAGTAACGCCTCCATTTGTCCCTATTGTAACTACAACTGGTCTCATTCATTCATTATAAAAATAAGTCAGTAGAAATCTAGAGGAATATGGCAGATGTAATGAGTACAACTTTTTTCTGGCTGTTTTAATTACAGAAATAAAACTTAGTTTTTGGTTGTTGACCCACACCTGGCGGTGCTCAGGGCTTACATGGGACTTGGGGGACCATACGGGAGGCCAGAGACTGAATCCGGGTTAGCTGCATGCAAGCGCCCTACCCGCTGTGCTATCCAGCCCCTAAAATAAAACATTAAAGGCTACAACTTTTAAAATATGACTTCATAGTTAAGGAATATTACATAGAAATGTTCTTTCATGCTAGGATGTGGCTCAGAGGTAAAGCACCTGCCTTGCCATGTATGAGATCCTAGTTTCTCCAAGCACCATGGGAGGGGGGAGAAGGTTCAATTATGGCTGTGTGGCTTACTGTCACTGTCACTGTCCTCCCGGTTTTCATCGATTTGCTCGAGCGGGCCCAGTAACATCTCCATTGTGACAACTGTTACTGTGTTTGGCAGATTGAATACGTCATGTGTAGCTTTCCAGGCTTTGCCGTGTGGGTGAGATACTCTCGGCAGCTTGCCGGGCTCTCCGAGAGGGGTGGAGGAATCAAACTCGGTGGCCATGTTGGCTGCTTGGAAGGCAAACACCCTACCGCTGTGCTATCGCTCCAGCCCAGTGTGGCTTACCTGGCTGCATAAAACTACTTGAAATATTTAACGATAAAAATTAAGTATTGGGCAGAGTGATAGTACAGTGGATAAGGAGCCTGCCATGCAAGCAGCTGACCCAGGTTCGATTCCCAGCTCTCCTTAGGGTCCCCTGAGCCCCTCCAGGAGTGAGCCTTGATTGAGCACAGAACAGGAGTGAGTCTTGAGCATGGCCAAGTGTGGTCAAAAAAACGGGGGGAAAAATACCAGGGTCTGGAAACCAGTACAGTGGTTAAGGCTCATGCCTAGCATGCATGAATCCAGCTGATTCCCAGCAACACATGGTCCTCTGAGCACTGTCCCGGAAGCCCCTGACATTGCCGGGTGTGGCCCTGAAAGCGAACTAATAAATAAAGCTCTCTTATACAGACCTCAATGATATAATCCCCTGGAGAAACATTCTGAAGAAGGCAGCTGGTTGTCTCTGTATTTGGCTCCTGCAAAGAAACAAACAACATTGGAAAATCTTACTTCGTGGAGCCAGGGAGATACCGGAAAGACTGGAAAGCACTTTTTGCACAGGGGAGCTTCAGAAGCTGGGGGCGGGGTGGGGGAAATGGAGGAGAGGGAGAGATCAACTCCTTCAGAGAAAGGAAAATTTACTTCTAGGAGAAAGACTGTCTCACCCCTTTGTTCCCCATAGGCTGAAGTTATCAGTCTATTCCAAGACCTCTTACATGATCCAGTTTGGTTCAAGATAATCCTTAATACTGGTATGTAAATTAAACATTTACTGATAAAAATACTACAAAGTAGTTTATTTGAAAATAAAATTTTTTAAAGTTACATGGTCTACAGTTTGAGAAACCGGACTCTAGACCATGTTTTCGAAAGATGTTAACCAATTAGCTGAAAAAGCTTCTGGACCTGGGCCTGGGGCAATAGTATAGCAGGTAGGTGCTTGCTTTGCATGTGGCCAACTGGGTTCAATCCCTGGCACCACATATGGTCCCCTGAGCATCTCACCAGGAGCACAGAGCCAGGAGTAAGCCTTGAGCACTGCAAGGTGTGGCTCAGAAAACCAAAACAAACAATAATTCAGTTACTTAGCTTCTATTTTCCTTGGCCTATGTGTAAAATCAAGAGCCATACATGATAACCTTTTGGTACCTGTATGGCAAACCATAACGCCCAAAAGGGTGGAGGAGGAAGAAGCTGGGGAGTGGGAGAGAAGGAGAGGGAGAGGGAGAAGAGAGAGGGAAAGGGAGAGGGAGAGAGAGAGCGTGAGAGGGAGAGAGAGGGACAGAGAGAGGGAGAGAATGAGAGAGAGGGAAAGAAGTGTTTGCCATAGAGGCAGGTAGGGGTGGAAGAGAAACTGGGGACCTTGGTGGTGGGAAACGTACACTGGTGAAGGGATGGGTGTTGGAACACTGTATGACTGAAACCCGATCATGAACAACTTAAATACACAAGAACAAGCCAGCAACCTCTGCACTGGATGGTAAGATGGTTCTTTGCTGCATGGCTTTGGCATAGGACTGCAGGAACTATGGAGTGAGGGATGAAGAGAAGATGGCCTGAGACACTCCTGGATCCGATACTCTGGGACTGCCCCCGACTGCTGAGAGACCATCTGTTGCACCTTTCAAATTCCAGGGCCTAGGGTGCTCACTTTAAACCATGGGGCGTTCCACCCTCACCTCACCGCTTACCTGCTTGCAGGTCTTCCGCCGGAAGGGTCCTTCATGCTTGAGTTTGTAATGCAGGTAGAAGAAACGGAAGCCAAAGCTGTGTGGCGCGTGGTCGAAGGTCACTTGCATGTCCAGCCCGTGCTGTGTGATGTTCAGGCTCCGCGGCTTCCAGACTGAGGGGGTGAGGGGACGAGAGGCCTGAAGTGAGCACCCAGGGGTCGCCCAGCAGCACCAAGGGGAAGCACTCTGAAACACCACAGACTAACAATAACTCTACTTACATGGCTTACAGGCCAGGTTGTCCGGCTGTAACAGCAGGTGGCAGGCTAGAGAGAAATATGCATTTTTAGTTTTAAGTCCATGTTCTTTGTTTGACAATTCAGTAAAACAAATGATTCAATTTACAAAAAAAACAAAAACATACAAACCAAAAAACCCTACTGCACTGGGTTCTACTGGGAAAGCTAGATAATACACCAATTCACCAATAATTTTCAGTAAAGCAATTGTTATCTACCAAAGCCCCACACTAGAAAATATATAAAATGTAACTGTAGTTCAATTTATGCAAAATAAATGGAAATTGTATGGGGCTAGAGAAATAGTACGGCAGGTAGGGAGTCTGCTTTGCACGCAGCCATGCCAGGTTCGATTCCCAGCACCCCATTCCCACTAGAAGTGATCCCTGGGTACTGCTGGGTGTAGCCCAAAAACAAATGAAAAAGGAAACTAAAGTCACCCGGGGTTTTGGACACAGTCACAATGTCTCGAATGACTGTGTCTACACTCCTTGTCCTATGGAGGCATTTGTAGCTACAGACAAATGCTGCTGGTCACTTATAGTCACTGAGCTTCTATTTTCCTTGACCAATGTATAAAATCAATAGCCATGCATGATATTTATATAATTCATATAAATATAAATTCAAGAACAACTTAAATACAGAAGAACAAGCTGCACTATTTGATAAGACTGTTCCTTACTAGGTCATAATAAATAAATAATGTATTCTTATTCTTAAATAAACAAATGGGCTTAAATCTATATAAATAAAACTTTATTGAGATGTGCAGACCCAAGAAAACTTCCGGGTAAGCCTGGCAACTACAGTGGGGTTATTTTCATCTTCATTGGAGCTCTGGTTTAAGATCTTTTAGCTGGAATCCAAAAAGGACGGCCAGGCACCTAAGTAACGCACCAACACTGAAAGCCAGGCACCTAGTTAGCAACAGGATTTGAATATGACCGGAAAACAGTGAGGGGCAGAGGGAGAGCTCAGAGGGGCGATGCTTTGCCTGTATGAATCTGGCATCACAGGTCCCCTGGAGCACTGCCAGGAATGACCCCCAAGCACCAAGCACTGCTGGTTATGGTCACAAAAGCAAAACACACAGAAGGCTGTGGGAGAATGAATATGTAGTCCTTAGATTTGAATCTGCTTCATGGTACCGACCTAACTGTAGGGTGTGACCCCTATGCAGGAGAGGGGACCAGCCCCAGCACCCAGCATTCAGCTGTGTGTGAGAACACTAGCAGGCAATGCACCAAATGTGGAACCCGGACAACATAACAAGGCCACAGGAACAGGGAAACACACACACACGCACACACACACACACACACACACACACACACACACACACACACACCTGTTCTAGCATGGCTGGAAAATGTCTATAAATGTCACAAAAATCAATGACAATACCCCAGTCACATGGCACCGAGGAACGATACGGAATGCTCTGCCCGTCTCTGTTTCACCCCCGACAGACAGACAAGCTGATTCTGACAGGAGAAGCAATCTCCAGCCATGCTGTCTATGACTTACGAAACTTCGCACAAACACATTCCTTGAATCCTCTACCAGGTGGTTAGGCGTCAAGCACTGAAGTGAAATGAGCACCTGGTTTCCACCCTCAGGAACTTTTTAAAATGATACTGATTGTGTGTGTGTGTGGGGGGGGGGGGGGGTGGCATGGGGGCTGGGAGACAATGAGACACAACACACTACACCCCCTGCATTCAGGGACTGACTATACACGGCGCTGGGGATCTAACTGCCAAAGGCAAGGCAAGTGCCTACACCCTCTACTTCCTGGCTCCCCAAATGATACCAACTATTATGAAAGACCGTCTGCATAGAGAGCAGCTCCAGATTAGACCACAAAGCCGGCAGTGACCCCTGAGCATCTCAGGGTATGGCCCCCCAAACCATCTCACCACCCCCCACGTCCCTGGCAAAAGAAAGGACAATGTCTGTAGTTTAAAGGAAAACTAAGGCAAAGAGAAAGGAACCCAAGCAAAAGGAAATGATTGCGACAGGCCTGGGCTGAGAGGAAAAACATCCCCGAGTGGGCAGGAAGGGCTGGAATGACATCGGGCAAGCACAGGGCCCTACCCTCATGGGACTCCAGAGCATTGCTGGGTGTAGCCCTGGAGGCCCCCCAGAAAGGCTGCGGGGGGAGGCGGGGAACAGGGGACGAGGGACGGGACTGTCATGAGAATTAAGATGGACCCAGGCCACAGCAGCAGGGCCGATGCCAGGACAGACGGCTGGCAGACTGGTCAGAAGGCAGATGTCTCAGGGTGCCACGACAGGTTTCAGGGTGCCTGGCTGACTCTGAAGGCAACAACGTGAGTGGATGAAAGCAGAGGAAAGCCAGATGAAAGAGGGCCCAGTGGCTAGTGATCTGAGTGTGGGGCCCAACTCTCGGTTCCCCGCAAGCCCTTTAACCACTCCATGTGACCCACAGCTTGTAAGGTGAGGGGGGCAGCTAAGAGTAAATTCTTTGGCAGGCCGGGCTGTTAACAGAGGTAAGTTACTATTTGGCCTGGCTTATAAAGGCCAAGCAAACTTTCTAGAAAGTGGTCTCGGGGGACCTACTCTGATTTTCTGAATCTCGTCCTGAGAACAGCAGGCACTCACTCACTCACTCATAGGATGGCCGTCTTCCTGATGAAAAAAGGCCAAAGGATGGGGTCTTTTGCACGTGCTGTTCTTCAAATGCAACTCTAGCTTTGAGCAACTGCAGCTCTGCGTTTGGGCTGCAGCCAGCAACGCTTAGGGACTATTCATGGTTTGGTTCTCGAGGTTCCCTCCTGATAGTGCTCTGGGGCCAGGCAGTGCTCAGGATCCCAACTAAGCCTCCAACAGCCAAAGAATGTGCTCCAGTTCATTGAGCTAGCTCTCCAGCCCTCGACTTGTACTTTTCATTGACGTCAAATCCCTGTTTTGTTTTGTTTCTTTAACCATATGCCTGTCTTACAACACCTTCCCCCAAGAACCAACTGTCCCGCCTCGGGAAACGGCTGTGCCCCGTGGCAGACACACCGCTGGAGCCCAATCTTCATTCCGAAAATTGGTTTTCCTGGATGTTGTTCCCTTCACTGGGCTCGTTTCTGATCTGCATTCGTGTCTCCGTCTCAACGTCCTTAAAATCAGAAAGGTGTGCTCCTGGGAATGACAGGAACCCATACTCACCACGGGTTCTGAAGAAGAAAGGGTGGTAATTGCTTTCATTTTTAATGGAAGGAAAAGGGACAATCTTCACAAAGTAATCTGTCTCAAACTTCATGTTCAGGAAAGGCTGCGATTCCATTCCCTGAGAGACAACAAACACACTTGTGATGTCTTAAGACACGACCCACCCTGTGCTCCCCAAGAGAGTCCCTCCTCCCTGGGCATCACCCTGCCCCAACTCCAAGATGGGGACATGTGACCACAGGAGGGAGAAAGTCTGGTCTATGAGAGAGAGAGACAGACAGACAGACAAACAGACAGACAGACACACACACAGAGAGAGAGAGAGAGAGAGAGAGAGAGAGATAGAGAGAGAGACAGACACACACACACACAGAGAGAGAGAGAGAGAGACAGACAGACAGACAGACAGACAGACAGACAGACAGACAGACATGACCCGTGATGCTTCTGTACTTTGGGGAGGAAGGGTGGAAGCCAAGGCTTGTTCACACGGGACCTCAAAGCAGCCGATCACAAAGCACTCCTCCGCCCCAAGTGCAGGGTATGTAACCCGAGAGGCATGTTTACCGGCTGGGAGGTGCTGCCGAGTCTCCCTGGGAGAGCGGGGCAGGCCTGAGGTGGTGCCCGCTGCTCTCGCCCACCTTGGCAGGCGGGGTGGACCCCACAGCCCCTCCTTCTCTGGTTTCACAGACTTTCAATAGCCCATTCAGGCCCCGGAACAATGGCACATCTTGAGGCGCACATTCCCTGCGTGTGACTTACGGTTCTTTTGAAGCTACTGTTGAGCTGCTTTGGGTCCTTCAGAATCAGTTGTTGGCACTGTCTTCCCTCTGACTTCAGCTCCTCCAGTATTACCCGAAATCCTTTTAGGAATTCGATGCCTAAGCAAAGCAGAATGGTTTTTCGTTAGAGTGGACCGAATTACATTTGAACACGTTCCCCTGTTCCATCCAAGTTTCCTGTTCTCTCCTCTATACAAAAGAGTTCAGGGAATCCTCCATCTGACCGGAATATCTGAGGAGGGAGGGAGGGAGGGAAGGAGGACACACAGCGGGCATACCCGGAATTCCTCCGATGAGGTTCCTTCTCCCACCACTACCAACTCATTTCTCATCCAGACAGTCACTCACAAATGCCTATTTTGGCTTGAGATATTGAGTCTCATTTATCTGTATGTTTGGGGGCCGCACATAGCAATGGTCAGGGGCTACTTCTGGCTCTGTGCTCAGTGGGGTCATACCTGGCAGCGCTGAGGGTCCAGGCAGGACCAGGAATCCTACCCTGGACTCCTGCGGGCTTGTCGAGCTATTTCTCCAGCATAGGTTAATATATTTAAACTCATGGTACAATTGATCATCAAAGTCTGCTATGGGACGTATCATTTTTAGATTATTAAAACAATATGTATTTAGCTGATGATAAATCCTAATCCTGACCCGGACTCCCTGCCCCACTGTGCCTGCATACACACACACACACACATACACACACACACGTCACATTTTAAGTTTTAGTCCGATACTTGTTGGCATGTTTCACTGAACAATGTACAAAATTCCCAACAAAGTGTATGTCTGCGCCCAAGGGGTTCCTAGGCTTGAGATTAAATAGCTGAGGAGAATGCCTATGCGATTTACAAAGCGGTTCTTGCTCTAATCACGCCTGAAAGGCAGACACCCAAAAGCTGCCCAGTGTGTGTTCTTCATACAACGCTCAGAGGCCCGAGACGCCCACGGTGCTGCTGAAAGGCGCCGGCCCAGCCTCCCGCCACCTGAGCTTCCCCCGCTGCACATCCGACTAGATGCTTTCAAAAGGATTAAGCTCTGATGGCCACAAGAGCCAGGACTGACGCTCGGTATCCCATGGAGACTGGAGTGGTCCAACTGCAGCTGGAGAGCCCCAAAGCCGGCCTCAATTGGCGCGATATCGATTTCGCATTCTTTCCGAACACTAGACAAGGAGACATTTTCAACTCTTCCCCTCCCAGGGCACAAGTAATTACACAGGATGCAATTAACCAGGTGGGAAAATTATTGATGGCAAAGGCCACGAAAAGCTTTTTCTCTTTTCAAATAGGTTCTCCAATCCCATAATTATTTGATGAAGAGCACATACTTTGCTTGTGGGCAGGGCTAAAGCAGCTACAATTGAGAGTTTCACATTTTCGAGGCCATCAGGGTTGTAGACGCAGGTACTAATCACTACGGGGTCTGTCAGTATAAAGCTGGGGGCGTCAAGCAGCCAGGTGACCCACACCCAAGATGCAAACGGGCCGTCGGAGACCCGTTCAGTAGCTGCCCAGAAACTCGTCTGTTAAGATAAAAAAGTTGAAACTGATTTCTCATGCCATACCACAGTTTGAGTCCTGCGGTTGCAGCCCAGCCGTGAGGGACAGAGGCGAGAGGGCAGTGTTTGGCCCTTAGTCTCAAGGAGTTTACCCCTCAAGGTGAAATTTAAGTGGGGGCTAGCTGGTGTCTGGAGATGACTACATGAACACACAGAGCATTGTCTGGACATCTGCATGAAGTTTTAGTAAGGTGTAATAATGTCCTTTCTATCAGAAGTGTTGAAGATGAGAAAATGAGAGAATCATGTCTTTTGGGGGCCTTCCTTTTGCTTTTTTTTGTTTGTTTGTTTTTTGGGTCACATCCGGCAATGCTCAGGGGTTACTCCTGACTCTGCACTCAGGAATCACTCCTGGCAGTGCTCGGGGGACCATATGTGATGCTGGAAATTGAAACCAGGTCGGCCGCGTGAAAGGCAAAAATGCCCGACCTGCTGTGCTATCACTCTAGCCCTTTTGGGAGGCTTCCTAATATGCATTTCTAGACAACAAAGATTTGTCTATTTTTCAAAGAAAAAAAAGTTAAAACAAAGATTTTTGGAGCAAATTTCAAAATTTCACCATTTCTATTGATCAAACCCGGATCAGCCAGGTACAAGGCACATGCCCTACCCACTGTACTATCGCTCTGGTCCTGGCCTGATTTTTGCTTTTTCCCCTTTGGTCTGCTGTTTTCAAAACATCTAAGGCAGCACGGCAATGTCAACAGAGTAGGCCTGAGGCTTGGGTCCTGATGCTGGCTACAGCAGCCACTGTTTTTGTAAGAGCTCTCTCTGGAAACACAGCAAGTGTGTGTCTAATTCTTAGACAAACCAAGAGGCACTTATCTGCACTTTACACATGAGGAAGTGGGACTGAGCAAAGTTTAAACACCTCTTGTCAAAAGCAGACCCTGGGTGTGAACTTCAGCCCACGTGAACAAAAGAGTTCCCTTTCCAGGGTCCTCCCCACACCTGTAAGCCTGCCCTGCAGTACCATTAGCTCAGCTAAGAAGACAGCCAGATCCAGCCCTAAGCTGAGTTTGGCCAGATCATGTGGGTTTGTGTTTTCCTACTTGTGTTTGGTAAAAGTTCAATTCGCTGCCAACATTGAAAGATGATCAATTCCATGGTTTCTCATGATAACTGGAATTTTTCTAAAAGCTCACAAAATGTGCCAGTGATGTGTGCTGGCAGACTGCGTGCAGACTGACACTTGTGTGGCCACAGGGACTGTCTGTGTCGTATGCCCGAGCCAGGAATGACATCCCTGCAGGGGCTCCGCTACGCTGAGACCCAGAGGCCACGGCCTCTCACACACTATATCCAACAGTGTGCTATCACTCACACACTATTGGTTTTTGTTCTTTTTTCCCATTTGGACACACCTCCAAATTCTATTGGGAAAAATGTGGAACACTTTACGAATTTGTGTGTCATCCTTGCGCAGGGGCCATGCTGTCCTCGGAACAAAAGGTGAGCCCTGCCACAGTGGTAGGGTGGGATGGGGGGATGGGGGGTGGGAGGGATACTGGGACTGGTGGTGGTGGAGAATGGGCACTGGTGGAGGGATGGGTATTCGATCATTGTATAACTGAAACCCAAGCACAAAAATTTGTAAGTCTACAACTGTACCTCATGGTGTTTCACTAATAAAAAAAAATAGTTGTATGCATGCTCCACCCCATCCCCCACCTCCGTGAGTGCCCACAGCAAATCAGCAAATGTGTCTGAGCCTGAGCCTGCCAACGATGCCTTTGGACTGCCTGGCCACCGATGGCATTCACGTCCGGGACCCTGACCTGGCACTATCCGGCCAGGCCACCATGGTGGGCTTTTTGAATACTTACCGAGGACCCCTGGGGACCAAAGAATGGTGACTGCCACTTGGTCATAGCACGCGTACTGGCTGATGGTGATATTCTGGGCATCGGCAATCACGTGCTTTCCCACTGGGTTCAAGTAGGTGGTGCAGTCTAGAGGGGGGTGGGGGGGTGGGGGGAAGGATGAGAAGAGTTAACATTTGATTTTTATTTCTTGTTTCCGAGTTCATCCTCTCAAATTACACAGAGCACATCTGGAGGTGACCAAATCCATTCTGTTTAAACACATCTGACATCAAAGGTTGACTGTTTAGAATACTCCAAGACGCGTTAGTGGGGTTTATTTATCGCACCAGCATCCCACTCCCATCAAATTCCAGGGCAGTGTTGGGAGGATCTTACTGTCTGTCTGGAGCTGAATGTGTGTCTGGCTTGAACTCCCGACCACCCCCTCCATCTACCAGGATAACATTTTGCCCAAACCAGTAATTATTTACGTGGATTCCGGTTTTCAGCAGCAGACAGTGATCTGAAACCAAAACATTGGCTACCCGGTCAGGAAGATTGTTTACTGTTTGTTTTTAGAAGCAACTGAGAGGGAAACAGGAAACCAGGAAACAGGAGTGAATGAGGATGTGAACTCCTGGGGTGAGATTCCCTGCAAGATAGCTGGTCCAACAATCCCATTAGCACTTGGAAAAGGCATTGACTTAGTGACAGGCAAGCACCTCCACGCTCACCAGCATCTCCATGTAAACCTTTTGTTCCCAAACACCACATGTCATCTTAGAACCCACAACACCCACCAAATCCTAAGAGCGCCACATTGCTCAGAAAAAGAAAACCACTGGTTCTTTGATAGTGCCAGTGAAGCCACAACCTGTGGGCAGCTGGGCCACCTGTTACGACTAAATCCAGCTTCAAAGTCTGCAAGATTCTAAACACACTGCCAGAAGCTTCCAACCAGACTGTGTGGCTGAGCCTTGTGGAAAGAGCTGCAGCTGCCAAGCCTGAAGACACCAATACAGACACACCCCACCCCCACCCCCACCAGCCCCCACTCTCTACCATTTTGTCTTCAATTCTTTCCTCAGTGACTAAACTTGAAAATCCTCTTCAGCATCTGCCACAAAAGATTTTCACTTTCAGGGTCAGAGTGATAGCACAGCGGGTAGGGCATTTGCCTTACATGCGGCCGATCTGGGTTCAACTCCCAGCATCCCATATGGTCCCCTGTGTACTGCCAAGAGTAATTCCTGAGTACAGAACCAGGGCTTTACCCCTGGGCATCACCAGGTGTGACCCAAAAAGCAAAAAAAAAAAAAAAAAAAAAAGATTTCCACTTTCCTCAAACATCCCCACCGGCCATTACACACTGGAGTCCAAGGAAGGTTCCAGTTACTTCCTAAGATGCCCACTGACCCCCAGTGGACAGTACCACACATTTCCCTTTCTTAGGACTAACAATGTTCACTGATGGCCAGAGCGACAGTCCAGTGGGTTAGGCCCTTGCTTTGCACACGGCTGACCCAGACTTGATCCCTGGCACCCCATAACATCCCCCAACACTGCCGGGGGTGAGTCCATCACCTCCCACCACACAGAAATAATTGCTAGGAATATTACAGGATACTCCTCCACGCCTTTTAACATGCACGGGATTAAAATTCACCTTCAAATTTCTTGTTGACTTGCAAAACACATACGTGGACTAAAATGCACCCTCCCCCTTACACGCACCCTCCACGGTGCTTTGGGTTCCACGTGTCTAAATCCTTTCATGGCACGCCTTTCTGTCAACATTGCCTGCTTGAAAAAAGAGCCAACTCTACATCTCAATGATTTTTTCGTGGCATTGTTAGAAATTAATACACAAAATTCCTCTTCTGATTGAAGGCTTTTCATTCTGATTTAGAGGCCTGTTTTCTGAGTACAAAAGAAAACTTCAGAATAGGAAATAGATAAATAAACATATATATTTTTAAACGGGCCAGAGCGATAGCATAACGGGTAGGGCGTTTGCCTTGCAAGCGGCTGACCTGGTTCGATTTCTCCACCCCTCTCGAAGAGCCTGGCAAGCTACCGAGTGTCACGCCCGCACAGCAAAGCCTGGCAAGCTACCTGTGATGTATTCGATATGCCAAAAACAGTAACAAGTCTCACAATGGAGACATTACTGGTGCCCACTCGATAAAATCGATGAACAATGGGAGGATAGTGCTACAGTACTAAGTATTCTTAAACACTTAGTTTCACACACATTGTGCGCATGTGGACGCTGCAGTCAGGAGGTGCTCTGGGACCCCACAGCTGCTGTCCTGCCTAGGGTCAGACATGCACAGCCACCCATGGCTTAGACGACGATGGCTTTTACTTATTTTTTTTCGGGGGCCATACACGGTAGTGCTTGGTGGCTACTCACAGAGGTGCTCCAGGGAATCGGGCAGGCCAGGGACTGAACCCAGGTCTGCTGCGTGCAAAGCATGTGCTTTAGTCAGCTGAGCTCGTTTCCAGGTCCCAGGACATGAGCCACTCTATCCTCAACAGAGCTTATTTCTAGACCAAGTTCTCGACCAGAGGTCTGCAAAAGTCTTGACTTAGACCAGGGTCTTCAAAAGAACAAAGATAGCCTCCCATCCTACTTACAAAGTTCAAACATTTCGTTGATTGAGATCTATCTAAGTGAATAAGAAAACTTGGATTTCACCTGCTCTAAGAAAAGATGCACAAACAACAACCAAAAAAATTGGAATCCCCCCCTTTGTTCATGCGGAATGCCAAAATTAGCACTCTCCCAGTTTTTGTAAATACAATTATGCAAATATAAAGACTAAGAATTAAGAAAATGTATTACAACCTACTCAGGCATTACCCCCTCAGCGCCTGAAGGAAAGTGAGAAATGCAATGTGAAAAGAAGCAAGGAAAGCGAAAGTGCACAATTTGGCTTTGACTTCGCAGTACACCCCCCCCCCCCCCATTCTGTCACATTAAATGACCATAGATTAAAAAAAATAAACAGAGGGTCAGGGGCTAGAGCAGATAGAATGCTTGCCTCTCACAGGCCCACCCAGATTCAATTCTGGCACTCTACATGGTCCCCTGAGCCCACCAGGAGTGAACCCTGAATGCAAGGTCAGGAGTAAGCCCTGAGCACTGCCAGGTGAGGCCTCCAAACAGATAGACAAAAAAGAGGTTCAGAAGTTCCCTAACTTACCTGGCTTATCACCCCTTTACAGGTTAAAAAAAAATCAAAAAACAACACAACAATCACTCAGTGCCCAGTGCTCCCCTCTCCAATCTACCTTCCTGTAGAGAACAGAAAACACCCTCCAATCATACCCAAGGTTACTACTGCCCCCCAAAACCAATGTGGTTCCAGCACCCTCTGGGGATGTATCACCAGTTGGAAAAATGCAGTTTTAAAACTCGGTAATCAGTTCTTAAATATTTCAGACAAACCCCAAAATCGGTCAACTGTGCAGTTACAGGAAACTCCATGTGGAAGTGTAATCGCTTTTCAATGGAAAGAAACGTGTTTGGTTTTTACACAGCCTGGATCCGTTTATTAGCAACGCCAAAGTTTTGGATTCTGATTACAGAAATATTAGCCCCAAATGACATTTTGCCAAAATGCAACTGAGTTTTCAGATGTCTCAGGAGTCAATGTAAAATGTGAATGGTGAAGGAAATGGTGAAAAATCAGAAAATAATGGTCAAGAGAGGGGTGAATATGCAGCCCCATGAAGAGAACAATATGATACTTATTAAGTTTTACAGGTAAAGATTCCCTTTCACAAAACCCTATATTAAATTAGAGATGCAAATACTTGTTTGCAGCTGACCGGAAAATTTTGAACTCTTGAATGTAATACAAGATCTGCCAGGACGAGAGCATGTATTAAAAATTAACTTTCTAACTCAAAAGAAAGATCCTTTACACATGTCTCTACTTAGCTGAACCAAGTATCACGGACCTGCACATTTTCATGAGCATCACAGCATTTACCCAAAACATGCCCACAGCACTAGCATGGAATGTCTGAGTTTCATATGTAAAAGTTCTCATCCATTAACTCGGAATACTCAAGTCAGCAACTGTCAATTTGACACACATACTTGCATCTTAAAATCGTTAGGATGCATATATGACTTCAAAAACCCTGTTTTTTTTTTTGCAGCGATCACCCCAGAGTCCTCAATGTGACCTAAAGCCTCTTGTACATAGATGGCCCTCTCTGAAGAATTAATCGAATGTCCAGAGCCAGAATTATGCGCCGAGCTCCCTCTTATGAATATTTTCTCTTATACATTAATGTCTAGGATGGAGCAATAGCACAGCAGTAGGGTGTTTGCCTTGCATGCAGCCAGCCCGGGCAAGCTGGGTTTGATTCCTCCACCCCTCTCAGAGAGCCCGGCAAGCTATGGAGAGTATCTCGCCCACATGGCAAAGCCTGGCAAGCTACCCATGACATATTTGATATACCAAACACAGTAACAAGTCTCACAATGTTATTGGGCCCACTCGAGCAAATCGATGAACAACGGGAGGACAATGACAGTGACATTATGTCTAGAAAGGCTAAAATGCTTGCACTTCTACATAATTTTTTTTCAGGCAAAAGAATAGCTTCTTTGAAGACTTGCTATATGCTCAACTGGAAAAAGCACTCGGTAAAGCTGCCCTTAGGGGGAAAAATTCTACTTCCTTCACAGAAAGGGGTAGACAGGTGCTTATTGTCCAACTCCAATAGGAACTGCTTGTAGTATTAATGGACACTGATTTCTGAATGTCCACTCCAAGCTCACTATCAAGCTGCAATTGCCAGCCTCATTCAAGTCTTAAAATGATGTGGAGAAAGAAATTAATCCTTTTTTTTCTAAAAGGAGGAGGCTGGGAGAAGTCATGGTCACGCTTTGCCCAGATAGTTGACAGCTGTTCATCTGGACGGGGACCCAGGCCAACATCAGAGATAGATCCCTAGAGATTGTCAGGACCATCTGGAACCCAATTCACCTGCCGGCCCTGTGTGTGTGAACCTTTTTAACTGCAGCCAACTTTTTTTTATAAACATCAAAAATGCAAATATACTACTCTTTTGGGAAGTGACATATGCCTCTACTAAGGGAATCGATCAAGGCCACAATGAAGAGGACCCTGTGTCCTTTCAGACATGACATTGGGCTCGAGGCATAGTACAGCGTGATAGTACAGCAGGGAGAGTATTCACAAGCAGCCCACCCAGGTTTGATCCCTGGCACCCCATATGGTCCCCTGCACACCACTGGGAGTGATCCCTAAGCACAGGGCCAGGAATAACCCCTGAGCACAACCAGGTGTGGCCCAAGCCCTTCTAGGAAAAAAAAAATGAAGACATGGTGTTCTCCAGTGTGTCACTGGCCCGTCATTCCCTATGTCCCAAACTTGGGGAGCTCTGTCCATCTGTTCCCCGCTGGGCCTATGGGCATCTGCACTTGCTCCAGAGGACCACAGGCCTCTCAAGAGAGGGGGGTCCCCCGCAGAGAGGTACAATTGCTCTGAAGCCTCCAGAGGACATTTGACCTGTGTGTACTCCCAAACTTTGACTGACTTAATGGAGAGACTGTTTGTAACCCGGAGCAGGTTTGGAAATCCCCCCTGGCCCCCGACCCTGCTGTGCCCCTGATTCAGCATGACCGTGTGAGCTTTAGATTACAAAAGGGCTCCATTCTTTGGCGGTCAGGGTGGTTACTTACTGTCATATCTGAAGGTGACGTTGTGCAGCCCGCTGTTTCTGCTGGCCGGCCCCACTCCCTGCGGGAAAACAAGAGTATACGATGAGGACGCAAGCCAATTTGCTTTTCCAATGTAGATCCCCACGGAGTCAAAAAAGCACATCTGACCGTAGAGGCCTAGGTCATGCCCGTCTCTGGGCAATGCTTGAAGATCTCCCACATCTGCTCTGCCTCCAGTGCCTGTGCTCCCCCTAGCCCCCAGTGAGATCCCCAACTTCCAGGCCATGGGGGCCGGGAGCAGTCACTCTGCTGAAGACCAGAGAAGTGGGTTGTTACATTTGGGGGTTAAATAATAATTCATTAACAGTAAAAAAAAAATGGGAGAGTGAACACGGGCTGCCAGCTGGAGTCCCTCCAGTTGGATCAGCCTGGAGCACTGATTGGTTATAAAACTCGCCGACCAGACACTCTCGTCCAAAAGCACTATTAAGCCACGACAGATAGGCAATTCCTCAAGTCTAAGGAAACAGGTTTCTCCTTCCAAGACCAAGAGTGTGGGAATAAGCCGTTACTTTTAATGAGAAAAATTCCTCACTGCATCCATACCTATGCTTGGAACATAGAGAGTGGGTCATAAAAGAAAAAGAAAAAAAAAAAAGACTTTAAAATGTCTCATTCTAACTCTAAGTGAGGTGGCTGTGAGCCATCTGCTCTCTTAATAGCAGGGGATAACAACTCCACCAGACTTCCCGCTTTAATTACAGCATCCACCAAGGGAGCTGAGGAATCCTCCCAGCGACCCCGCCCTTTCCAAACCCCCCACTTATCCATCCTGAGAAAGAGCTGCCACGGACTGACTCTAAAGTTTTAACTGTTTCTGTAATAATCTGCAAGTGCGCCAGTCAGTACTAGTGGCAGACTTCTCTGAAACATGTCCATCCAGAAATGCTAAATGAAGAGAAAACAGTCTAATCACACAGCTCAAGTTTCCACTCATCAAGCGAGACTTTGGAAGCGGCATATGCCAGCAGCTTGGTATTTAATGGGTAACCGTTACCCCCAGACACAATGTGCAGAGTACTTGAACAGGAACGAGTGCCCTGTCTGGGGCCCCAGGAACATCCAGATGCTATAGGGCATGTTTCTGCCACGGAGGCTGGGCACCCCCGCTGAAACTATATCCTGGAGCCCAGCTAAGCAGGGACTAAGGCAAGCACAGCTGTGCAGAGGGGTTCACACACACCACACCGGGGACACCAAGCAGTGAGCAGCAGCATCTAAACCAACACAGTGCACCAGCCCACAGTCCAAGGACATTTCTGTCTTCCGCCTGATCTTGCTTCTCCAGCTTTCCTCCTCCCAGCCCTGCTTCCTACACACACACACACACACACACACACACACACACACACACACACACACACAAGATTTCCAGGGCTCCTCACCCAACATACTTCAGAACACTTTCTTTGGGGCCAAAGTGACAGTACAGCGGGTAGGGCATTTGCCTTGCACATGGCCGGCCCAGGTTAGATCCCAGGAGCAATACCAGGAGTAATTCCTGAGTGCAGAGCTAAGAGTAACCCCTGAGCATCGAAGGGTATGACCCCAAAAGCCCTACCCCAACCCCCAAAAAACGATGCTTTGCTTATGAAATTTTAAATGCCTGGGACCAGAGCAATAGTACTTGACTTGCATGCAACCTATCCAGATTCAATCCTCGGCATCCTGAGCACCGCCAGGAGTAATTCCTGAGTTTGGAGCAAGGTGTAAGCCCCGCGACCATAGGGTGTGCCAAAACCCAAAGGAAATAGCATGTAAATGCCTTGCTGCTTGTTGGGGAGGAGGCCCCAGTTCATCGTCTGTGCAACAAGAGGATGTCCAACTTCTACATAGCCCCAGTCATGAGCAAACATACGACCCAGACACAGGAGACTGCATTTCTCCGATGTCCCTCACAGCAATGCCCAGATACATACATACATACATACATACATACACACACACACACACACACACACACACACACACACACACACACCCTACCCCTACAACTACTAAAACAAAAACCCTATTCACCCTCTCTTAGGAGTCAGATTTGGTGAACGAAAGAGTCATTGCCCGTGCCTTGGGACAAGAAAGCAGCCTGGCACTTGGACTCTGCATTGCAACGAAGGGTGTGTGACACCCTGGCCCTCCACAGACTCTCAGTGTAGATGGCAAGTCAAGGTTATGCCACCAAGGTGGAAGAATGAGCTCTAATAAGCACGCAGTGTACTAAGTGCACAGAAGTGTACTACGGAGCACTTCAGTGAAAAGGAAACAAAGGCTGAGGACCAAATCAGAAGCTACCAAGAGGCAAGGAAGGGGAGGGGTGATGGCTCTAACGGCTGGAGCACATGCAGAGCGTGCAGGCACCCCAGGTTCTACCCCTAAAACTACACGCCCTGCCACCACCATCCCCATCTTAGGGCCTTTACTGTGGGCCTTTTATCAGCTTTTCATTTTGTTACATTTCTATTTTGTTTGGTGCCAGGGACTGAACCCAGAACCTCACCCATGCAAGCTCTACCACTGAGCTACATCCCTGGCCCCTCAAATGCAAAACATTTTTAACAGCTATTTACTGGGGATGTGCAATGTGCACTGCATTACAGAAAGGGCCAAGATGTGCCCTACTGTGTGTGTGAGAGACTTCATTACCCCAACTAAGGCCTCTATAGTGGTGTGCAGTGCAGGTGCAGTTTCACCGACCTGACCTCACAAGGCAGTGAACTTGCAGGCACTGCCTGTTTACTAATGACTTGCCCAGGCCTGGAATTCCAGGTCGAGCCCAGAGTCCCTGACCTCAAAGGGCTATGTCTGCCAAGATGATCTTCTATGTGCAAATCAGTCCACATTCCTGTGCCCATCAACTGGCTTCCTGTCCTTCCCAGATCATTCCTAACAAGTTCCTTACTTCTTCTCAGATGCCCCCTCCCTATCTTCCACACCTTTCCACACTTCAACATTCCCAGTCCTTCCCATCACTGGGTTCCCCTCTGCCCTGTCTCCCTGCCTTAGTCCAGCCCCTCCCCCCCTCATTCTGACAAATCCAGCTGCCTGCAGAGTCTACTTGATGAGCACAGCAATCCATCATTTGTAATTTGACTTTCAGCATGCTTCCGCAGACACAGATGCGAAATAGGGAATTCTGATTCTACAGAGAAGTGCTTGGTGCATTATCAATGTATTGGGTGCAATTTCTCCATGCATGCATCAGGCAGCTGCTGTGTGGCTCACGCCAAATCCTATTTTGGCTGCTCCAGAGCCCTCAGAACCAACCGTGAGAGAGTGCCCAGGAGACCCCACAGGGCACCACTGCTATCTTTACACTTGGCAGAAGACAAACTAACCGCCTTCAACCCCCCTAAGTGACCATTTTATAATCCCCCAAGCCTGAATGTTAACTCTACACAGCAAAAGGAGTTATGCAGGAGCTATGTGATTTAACTTTAGAGGCTGAAACGGGAAGATCATTCAGGATTTTTCAGGTTGCCCAATGCAATCACAAGATTTTTAAGAGGAAGAACTGTGATCATGGAAGCAGAAGGCAGGGGAAAAGGTCAACATTGGGTTACAGATGTCACGCTGGGCCGGAGAGAGAGCACAGGAGAGTAAAGAAGGTGCTGGCTTCCCATGACCTGATGCGCCACATGCGGAGTGATCCCGAGCATCTCCAGAAGTAATCTCTGAGGACAGAGCCGGGAGTACACCCTAACACAGCAGGGATGACCCCCAAGCCCCCATGCACACATACACACAGACAAATAATAAAGATCTCCTGATGGGGAAGGAGCTAAAGAGGAAGGAATGCGGGTGATCCTTGGCTATCTGGAAAAGGCAAGGAAGGAAATCTACCCCAGAGGTACAAGGAGACAGCCCTCCTGAATCTTTACTTTGAACCCCCCAACACTCGGTCAAGAATTCTGCCTTCAAGATAACACTGTGCCATTTTAAGCTTGTAGCTTGTAACAACTATGCAGCTACTGGAAGCTCATAGCTGCTACATGACATGGCCATTCCACTTAGGATGGAATGGATCTTGGTAGCACACAGATGGCACATGTTGTCATGTGACTGTCCTCCCGCAACTGGGTACACTTGTCACTTGCCTCCCTCCCACCCCAGCTTCAGACCCACCCAAACAGAGATCTGCTGGAACTACTGCTTGAGATTTTGCCATCCTGTGAGCAGGCCTATGGCTGAACTGCGGCAGAAGCAGAGTTCCCAGAGTGAAATTTGGAGCTGCTCAGTGAGGGTACTGTGGTCCAATTTCCCCCTTTCTTTCAGGGGCATCTCAGGCGAATTTTGAAACCTTTCTGAGACTCATTTCCCGGAGGCACAGATACACATGTTTGAATAAACTTCCTGGAAGGAACTGGCGTAGGGGGCTAGGTGCCACACAAGTCCTGATTGCTTATTAGCACGGCATCTAACACATAATGAAACAGTTATTTCATACTCACTTCTAGGACTGTTGCTGAAAAAATTTCCTGCTCTAGTCAGTAAGAGTTGGGCAAGAGGAAAATCCCTGTAGAAGAAGCAGTCTCCCCAGGAAAGCTCTGCCACTGCAGAAACCCTGACCTGGCAGGACGTGAAGCGACACGGAAGAATGTATCCTGCTCAGTCTTGGTGCTCACCAGGTGCCCAAGGACTTCACCAGTTAAGTGCACAGGTTGGATGCCCTGCCCCCTCCCAGAAGCCTGCTCACCCCAGGGCCTGGTGCAGTCCTTAAACACAATGATTTTTCATAGAATGCATGAATGACTACCCCAGTATTAACTACAGAGAACCCAGGGAAACCTCGCTTGGTATGACAGGGTGATTTATGAGGCTCAGAAACAGGGAGAACACAGATAAGGTGACTTACAAAGCTGGTCTTCAGGAAACAATTGCAAGAGTGAGCTACTACATCCATTTGATATTTAATGAGCTGACAATTAAGAATACTTGTTTGCTGCCTGTTACTTGAAAACTATAAATGCCAATGCCATGGCCTCAGGGTGTCACATTCTTAGTTAATTAACCACCTCCATT